ACAATATGCCAACATTTTTATGGCTGGCCGGGAACAGCGCTTCCTCTGCTCTCGTCCACTCACGCCCCTTCTCTGCCTACGCTACATTGATGACCTCTTCATCATCTGGACCCATGGGAAGGAGACTCTGGAAAAATTCCACCAGGATTTCAACAGCTTCCACGCCACCATCAACCTCAGCCTGGACCAATCTACACGGGAGGTCCACTTCCTAGATACCACCCTATACCGAAAACCCACCGACCACTATGCCTACCTTCATGTCTCCAGTTTCCATCTCGGACACACCACACGATCCATTGTCTATAGCCAAGCACTGAGATACAACTGTATCTGCTCTAATCCCTCAGACAGAGACCAACACCTACAAGATCTTCACCAAGCATTCTCAAAACTACGATACCCGCACGAGGAAATAAGGAAACAGATCAACAGAGCCAGACGTGTACCCAGAAGCCTCCTACTGCAAGACAAGCCCAAGAAAGAAACCAACAGAACTCCACTGGCCATCACATACAGTCCCCAGCTAAAACCTCTCCAACGCATCATTGGTGATCTACCACCCATCCTGGACAACGATCCCTCGCTTTCACAGGCCTTAGGTGGCAGGCCAGTCCTCGCCCACAGACAACCCGCCAACCTGAAGCATATTCTCACTAGTAACTACACACCGCACCATAGTAACTCTAACTCAGGAACCAATCCATGCAACAAACCTCGATGCCAACTCTGCCCACATATCTACACCAGCGACACCATCACAGGACCTAACCAGATCAGCCACACAATCACTGGTTCATTCACCTGCATGTCCACCAATGTAATATATGCCATCATATGCCAGCAATGCCCCTCTGCTATGTACATCAGCCAAACCTGGACAGTCCCTACGTAAAACGATAAATGGACACAAATCAGATATTAGGAATGGCAATATACAAAAACCTGTAGGAGAACACTTCAATCTCTCTGGACACACAATAGCAGATTTGAAGGTAGCCATCTTGCAGCAAAAAGTCTTCAGGACCAGACTTCAAAGAGAAATTGCTGAGCTTCAGTTCATTTGCAAATTTGACACCATCAGCTCAGGATTAAACAAAGACTGTGTATGGCTAGCCAACTACAAAAGCAGTTTCGACCTCCCTTGGTGTTCACACCTCAACTGCTAGAAGAGGGCCTCATCTTCCCTGATTGAACTAAACTCGTTATCTCTAGACTGACTCACTCTTGCTTACATATTTATACCTGCCTCTGGAAATTTCCACTACATGCATCTGACGAAGTGGGTATTCACCCACGAAAGCTCATGCTCCAATACGTCTGTTAGACTATAAGGTGCCACAGGACTCTTTGCTGTTTTTAAATAGTGATTGTCAGTCCAAGTCGCACAGTGCATGCAAGCTTTCTCGTTTAAACGTCTATCTTTATAAAATCAAGTTCTAAATCAGAACTTTTCTATGAAGTCATCCAGAACTTAGGCTCCAATGTTACAAGCTGTTCTGTGCAGAGCAACTTGCAGGATTAGGGTTGTAGTTTTAAGTACTTAAATAATTGAATTAAACAATAGAAAAATCTTAAAATGTAAAGAGCACCTTTCATTCTGAAGGATCCTAAAGTACTACATAAACAACATCATGCTATTCTTACATGTAAAAAAAAAAGTGTGAAAGTGTATGTAATAATATATACTGTGGTGTAAAGATTTTTATAGATGAGAATGTGGGGTGCCTATATTATGATTGGCTTTGCAATTCCTGAGTTAGAGATCCTCCCAAATAAGTATTAATAAAAAACAAATTTCTACACCAGTGTCTTATGCCAAATGTTACTGAAAAGCTTGAAATTTTTTTTAAATGTTGGGATTTACCTGCCTGGATGAACAAGGATCCCGTACTACAGTGAGTTCAACAGTACACGTTATGGAGGGAGAGAGAAAATTCTAACAAATTTTAGAGACCCTATTGAAAAAAATACCTAAAATAGCACTTCCATATATTACATTGTCATGAATTGTAAGACTTGGTATCTCAAGATTTTCCATGTCTAGAACCCAGAGCATTGTCAATTCAGAATGTAGAGTTGGAGGTATGGGGGAAATCTACCTTGTCATTTAACTGTCTTACTCTTGAAAGACTGCTATTTCACTTAATTGTATTATAGGTGATCACAGACATCAATAAGAAAAGACGGCGTTTGCTGGAAGTTAGAGAAGAACTAATTCGGTAAGTTTCCATTTGCTAAAATGTATAGTGATTATACTGATTGAAAGCATACAATAATAGGCTATCAGTGGAAATTGAGGAGTCCTGTTACTGTCCAGAAAATCTAAGGTAACTCTTGTTTTTGTCATTAACTGACTTTCTTTGTGTAAATAGCAGATGAAACATTTACGGCCTGCACCAGCTGAACATATGTATTCCTTCCTATTTGCAAAAGCTAAAATTAACCACTCCATCTCCACAGGAGTTGTGGAACTGCCTAACAGAAACAGGGAGTCATTTTCACAAACTATCTCCAGCTACTCTAAATTCATGGGATAATGTCTGACAGTTGGGCTACACATTCCATAAGAAATACACCAGCTGCATGACTGGAGGTGAGAACATGATCAGATAGGTTAAGACTACTTAAATTTTAACACCTACTCTGAGCATGGAACTGTGTGTGTGGCATTGTTCCCACCCCCAGTATAGCTCACCTTAATCTTGCTGGGTAAACTTCCTGATTCCCTTAATAGAACTCAGCCTTGAACATGTGCAATACATTGTGATTTTAACTGCCCCTACAGGGGCAGGATATTTCCCAAGATAGTACATGCAGCAGTCTGGTGTGGTGGAGTCACAGAATGCCTAATGCCATATTCCATTACTATAAGAAATAAGATATTTCTCAAAATAGAGGAAGAATACTGTTGGCTGTATTTTACTTAAATGTTATGTGTGAGTCTATTTTAAATTGTACACCTTGGCAAAAGCCATCTCCTAGAATCCCCTTGATCACAAATGTGATTGCTGGATTCCTGTCAAAAGAATTATTGTATTATTGACAAGATTAAATGTGTCCTTATTAGATAAAAACTTAGCAACATGGTTCTTTAAATTGTGCATACTGTTTATTAATTAGTTACCAAAGATTTACCCTAATTGTAAAATGCAGACAGTGCAACAGCCTGGTATTTTTCTCACTTTTATGACCCCATTAAGTCATGTTCAGTAGAAACGGTACATTCAAAGTAACTCCTGAAAGAAAAAAATTCACAACACAATCCTTAAGCATTGATGGTTTTTAAGGACTGGACCACAACTGAAGCAACTACAAAGAGAATATGCTGAGCTACGAGAGAGAGAATCTTCTCTCAGGAACGCAACCCAGTTCCTAACTGATTTAACAGAGATGCAGCAACAGTATATAAATTGCAGAGAAGACCACCCACAAGAAAAAGTAGTCGTAAGTACATCTTGATTCTACGAGGTTGCACTAGCTAATTCAAGTTTTGTCTCTTTAGGAGAAGAAACTAAATGATGATTCAGGGCAGATAGCAATATCATTATGTTGGTGTCTGTCAAGGCCTTGTACAGCATGGCAAAAACTTCAGTGCTGTTGTATCCAAGACACACATGTAGTGTACTATTTTTTAAAAGTTCAGTGAAAAACAAAGTAAATTTATTTTCTTATTTAATATAGATGTGGGTCAAACCCTGGTACCTAGGAACTTCCCTACATACAAGATGGTAATGTTTGCTAACTTTCAAACCTCACAGTGAATTTTGTAACTCTCTTTTAATGCTCAAATGTCTATTCAGCAACATAGCACTGACAGTGAGCTTCTCAAATATGTACTTTAAGTAGTGTAGGAGACCTGTACAGGAATTGTGTCATGGCCTGGAATACACTCTCCTCTCTTCTAGGGGCACTGCTGACCTCCCAATCTAAGGAAGCCGTCCACTTTAGGACATATTATCTGCTTATGCTTAGTATAGCCAAATTTTAACTTGACTTAAAGATGCAGAATAGAACATTTGAAGAGAGTGACATCCAATTATAATCCACTCTTTCAAATATGTCAGGTATGAGAGACAAATGGAATACTTAGGATAATAGGCAAGTAATTGGACAATGTTTGTTTTCAAAGAGTTAAAAGTAAAGCCTTGTAATTTTTTTCCTCCAACAACAGTACGGAACTTCCAGCATTCCTGCTCTTCTGGTGGAATCTCAACTAATTTTAAGAGCTGAAAGTCATTTTCAAAATATCAGCACAAGATTACAAGAAGTTCTGAATTTGCAGAAAAAGGAGCTGCCAGAGAAATTTTAAATGCTTTATACAATATACCTTCTTCTTGCAACTAAGCATAGTTAACATTAGTTAAGTGTATTCATATACCTAATGGTTATGACATTCCAATTCCATTTAGATTTTGTATTTGCACTCTAACTTCTGATATAACAGAAGCAGCAATTATTTAAATACTAGCATATGCATTTAATAAAACAAAGCAATGTGTTTAAATTGCTTCTGACTTTAAATCTTTCACATCTATAAATAAGTGATGTGAGCCTCTTGTGAGAAAAGTTGATATGTTTCTAAAGATTTACTAACAATTGTGAAGGGAACGTGTGGTTTTTCACTTAAATGTTCAACTCAAACTTACTATACATCCGTGTGCTACCTCATTCATAGCGTGCATGGCAGCCTGGAGTAGAGAGTATGACAAACCATTAATGATATCAATGAATCAGTGATAAATCTAGCACTTTAAAAGTAATAGGATTTTATTATTGGATTACCAGAGTAATCATTTGGAAATACCAAAGTGACAAGAGTAGACATTTTCTTTAGAATGAGCAATAACTGGTTTTTCACTAAATATCAGTTGTAATTCCAACTAAAGTAGCATAAAGATAGGCTTGTAACAGGCAACTTACAAATAGTCATGTCTAAATTCTTAGCAGTGGCTTCCATAAATTATTGCACCATTCTATGAGTAATGAATAAAATATTTCTAAAACTAGTATGTAGATTTTTAAAAACAGCTTAGTTATAACAAGTCATACAGAAGATGGTGAGCATAATGAAATTATCAAAAGGTAAATCCATACTTTAGATAAAAACTTTTGGCAGGCCCACTTATAGGTAAGAGATCCTGCCTGCCCTTTGTAAAGTAACTAAAAATACAGTACAGACTGTAGGCAAAATCCTAAACATTTGGACATATGGGAAGAAACATGTTTTAACCACACTTCATCCCTCACCTCAGTAAGTGAATTTTATCTGAATCATTGTCCATGAAGCTTTTTGAGAGTGTTGACACTGTCCACTTAGCATCTTTTTAAATTTTGAATTTAGTGCTCCTGAGAAGTACCAGCTTGATAGCCTGTGTCTAGCTTTAGAACACTGCACAACATCGATACCACTAGGGTAAACTGATCTACCTGGGTCTTCCATGGTGCTTCTTTCCTGTCCAGGAGCAGCTACTTCTAGGGGTGAGAGGATAGTTCAGTTTCTGTAGCTATTCAGTCCTTGGCCTCTGCAAAGAGAGAGGGTGGCTTTTGTGCCATATGCAGCACTCCAGGCTGCAGGTGGCAAAACCACCACTGACTAAGCTAGAATTTTAAAGCAAAAATTAAAGGTGAGATTTACATGGTTTAATAGGATAGCATTAACATATAAACCCAATGTACAAAAACACAGCTAATGGCAAGTTTACTATGCACTTTCATATAAAGAGAGGATGCTGGCATGGTTCTATCAGTTTCTTTTGGCAGTGTAAACAGGACTTCTGACAAACTTTGGCTTTATATAATGTGCTAACTCAACTATATCTTAATGAATCTAAACAGCTGACCTTAGCTGAGAGCTAGCTGTATACCTTGTTACCACAAACTTCTTGTTTTCTTAAAACCTCTATGAGCAGCTCATCGGGTATTTCTTCCAAGTCACAGTTCTGCTTGGTCAGACTGTTGTCTGCAGCTTCTGCAAGTTCAACATCCTCAATAGCTTCCAGAAAATAGGCCTCATCAGTCACATTGTCCCATTCTGTATTTGAACAGAGCTTGTCAGGAGACTCCTTATTTTCTTGACGTATCCTTAATGATGTGCTTTCTGAGAAGTCTGTAAGGTTAGGTGATTTTGCTTTTTCTTCTATGTTCCCACACTCATCCATAAAAAGTACATATTCTTCCTTTAAAAAAACAAATTTTACTTATTCAACATGTAAATGTTCATTATTTCTAGGGGGAGATCTTATTGTTGGCTTCATAATGGGAGCAGAGTTAGGCTAAGGCTGAGCACTTTTGAAAATGTCACCTCTAATGAACACTGTGTAGGTCAGCTGGCAAGGCAAGTTTCTTGTGTTTTTGGATTGTGAGCATTTACCAAACAGCTAAACCCTAATTTTATGAAAGTCAGTTTTCAATAGGACCAAAATGTAGTTCTTAAAAGCAGTGCTTTGTAACTGGCAAGCTTTTGAAAATCATGCTGCAAGAGCACTACTGAGTTTGCTCTAGCTGCATCTGTAGGGAGATAACACATTTACACGCACACAGAGTACCTATGTGGCCCGGCGAATGTCACATGAGCCATAGCTGTGTTCTGATTGGGCCACAAGTGGCCCAAGGGCTGAGAACCACTGCTTGAAGTAGTGGTGAATTGCTTACTAAGAATTTTTTGCTAAATAGGCGTAATTTACCAACAATCGGTTCTGCTTCAGATAGGACTTCATAAACTTGCAGTACACAGATCAATATACCTCTCAACCAAACTTTCCATGGTTATGCCAGCTATTGAAAAGCTGTTACCTATAAAGCCCAGGGTAGGGGTTGCTTGGCCAATAGGCTTCTCTACAAAGGTTGAATATTTACATTAAACATTTTTATTGCTTTACTACACTACACAAAAGGATTTTTGTAAATGAAGATTAACTTCAGTCTTCAAAATCAGTGACATTTAATTGCCATTTTAAAAATGTGAAGCAGTTTCAGAATACTAAACCACTAATGCTAAGACAATAGGATTTACAATTGACTATGCTACTATCATATTGTGTGCTGCAAACACCAGTTGAAGTTTGACTTGGATTTGCCTAAGCATCAGAAAAATGGAAAACTGAATGTATTCTTTGAATCCTCCATGAAGTTTAAAGGTGACACTCATGTATCGGTCAGTTAGACAGCGTAGATACAGCCAGAGAGATTAAAAGATCTTGTACTAACCACAAGGAGGAGAGTTGCCTTAGTCTAAGTGAAATATTGGTAACCTTGCCTACAGCCAGTCTATATTACCACTTCTCCTGCTAGTACTCCTACCATCAAGGGAATTCTGCATAATTGGGCCCCAAATATTTCAGTCACTACACTTGAGTCCCATTGCCATCCATGGAACTACTCACAAGTGAGTAAAGATTGCACAATCAATCAGTTCCCTAGTGTAGGCAAGACTTTTAAAGGGCTACCAGGGAGGACAGTTTGGAGCACACGTGAGTTACCATTAAGCCTTTTCTCAGGTGTTTTTTTTTTTTGCATGGAGATGGGGAAGGGGGAAAGGAACAAAAAATACATACCTCTTTGAAAAGAAAAGGGAGGCATATCTCAGCGGGTAATGGAATACCTAAATCAAATACACTGTGTTTATATTTTGTTTAAAGTTATTGTTTCTGAAATGGTCAAGTGTAATTTTATTGAAAACATACTTACTTTCTGATTTGAAGTTTTTAGCTCTGCAGACAGGGTCATAACATTTTTGATAGTAAACTTCTTTTTTTAGATCTACCAGAATCCTTAAAATACAGATGCAAGTGTTGGCTAGCACTTAAGAACAGAATTAGCTACATTATACACATAGGGCAAGGATTTCACCCAGAGAATGAAGACACTATGTCTTCCCTCTGTTTCTAAAATAGTCTTTGTACATGCATTCTGGCCCATTCACAACTGAAATTACATATAATATGCAATATACAAAAAGAGGAAATACACAATCTTACTGTAAAATTTACAGTATCTTACATGTACAGGGTTTTGGTATGTTGTTTCAAAGTCACGGTTTTGAAAGTGAGGTACAATTATCTTCAGGCTACATTAATTCTGAACAAAGATATACAAATCAACCTCTTAAGGTATTCTTATTTTCTAAGATAGTTATAAAATGTGAGTTAAAACCCTCCCTCCTGCAGTGAGTTTAATTAAATCACTTGTACAACTCTTACTGCAAATCCAGGTTATGCAATTGTGTTATGGGACAAATCTTACCACATAATTTGATACTATACCATTTTAGCTGTGGTTGAATAGAATATTGTGCATCTCTTGCTGTTAAAAACAATCTAATAGTCATTCTTTTGAAAAACATTTACATTTAGAAATAGGATTCAAGTGGAAAGTTTTTTTTTTTTAAGCATGCATTTGGTAGTCTCTCAGTCAATCTATATTCAAAATTGACAGTCTCCTCTTAACAGCCAATCAAATGACAAGTTATTTAGAATTTGTAACCTAAAAAATTAAGTTAGTAAACTAAATATTGATGAGAGAGACTAAGTAAGATTAAGTAAACATTTTGAGTGAAATGCTGACCCCACTGAGGTCAGTACCTCCCATTATCCTCTGCCATTGGAACTAACTCCCTAAACAGGTATAAATGTATGTTCAGTAAAAGAGTAAACTGAACAAATTCTTTCCATTTCCAGTGAATAGCACCCAGTGAGGGTTGGGACCCTGTTGGACTAAGTGCTGTAAAAACACTCTCCCTTCCCTGAACAGTTTTCTATTCAAGCATTTCTGGATATTCTAGTCGCATAATGAAAAATTTCTTATTAAAAAGTTAATTTGAAACCTTTCAAAGTATAAGTGCTTATTAAATAAAAGGTTTGTAGAGAATGCTACATACTTAAAGAACATACATTATATTGTTACTTTTGTGGGCTCTTCCAATATTTTTACACCAGCGATATCTGGATATGTCATAAACAAGGAGTTCTTCCAAGGAAAAATAATTCCATCGTCGTATCCCTGGAAAATTAAGTACCTTTTTAAAAATAATTTATAACAGCTTGAGAGTATATGTCTGTATCTTTAAAGAAAAAGAAAAAAAAAGTGGTGGTCTGTACCTCCATGATTATCCTCTTTATTAACTAAAGAAAGGACAAAACAATCAATTTCTGGATAGGGTGAATATTGATATCCTTCTATGGGATCTGTTTAAAAACACAAACACATGAGTTACTGTTACAGATTATATAAACTCAACCAAAATAAAAATAAGTGTACTTGAATCTCACTAACCATGAAGGGCCTACTCCTAGTCCCATTACCATCAATAAAGCAGGACTGGGCCCAGTGTCTGACTGGTATACATCTTGGAAAGCATTTTTCATTATAGAAGAAGTTGTCCTTGCTCAGGAACTCTGGAGCCAGATCCCTACTTTTGGGAATGGCAGGTTACAATTAGCACATGCTCCTATACTTTGGAGATTGGTCAATGCTTACTAGTCCTGTGACAAAGAAAACTCATGTAACTTACTTTAGAAGGGTCTGTAGACCAGGGAAAGAGGCAGACTCCTGCAAGCTCCCAATTTATTAGTGCATGAGGAACTAGTTAGGCAGTCTCCCTGGGAAATGAAGGCCATACCCCCTGAAGAACTCAGCTAAAGGATATTGCCTAAATAAGCTGCAGCAGAAAGTTTCCACTGATGTATAAGAACAACAGCCCAACAAGGATGCAGTTTATCAGATGTACAATTTGAGATATAGTCCATAATTAGATGGGGTGCACTGTAATACATATAGCAAATTAATGACAAACACTTAAGATAAATTTTTCTATTCAGTAAAATCACATATTCAAAAGATGGTTATGAAGTACCTGAAGTGCTACTGCCAACTCTCCTGTCTGTTTGTTTAGGCATTTTTTCCTTCCCTTCTGGGTTGTCACAAGTTAGGGCTCTTTCAATTTCTGAGAACCTAATGGAGAGACAAAGTGGGGAGAAATAAGTCATAATTCTCAGACTTCTGGACATACCATACTTCCTTTTCACATTCACATGGCCCCTTTATTTCTTGTTCAGACATAAAGGATTCATTTTGACTTAGAAGTTTCCTCTGATATATTCCAGCAGAGGGCAGTTTCCGCCTTCCTCAGCAGAGGCAGGAAGATCTACCCTCACCAAACCCAGGATCACCTGCACTACTTCTAGCCCTATTTGCTATATATGTAGTACTTGAAAAGTACTTGCATCTGAAGAAGTGAGGTTCTGACCCACGAAAGCTTATGCTCCCAGTACTTCTGTTAGTCTCAAAGGTGCCACAGGACCCTCTGTTGCTTTTTACAGATTCAGACTAACACGGCTACCCCTCTGATACTTGAAAAGTATTGTTTACTTTTGGATGGCTTTTAGTATTCTTGCTCTTTACCCTTTTAGAATTAGAATCATCATTTGTAAAGAACTATGGTTTTTCTTTGCTGTGTTTCTGGCATGAAGACAAACCATCATATAGGGCCAAATTCTGCAACAGATCCTTTCTTGTCCTTACTCAGGAATGACTCCATTGAAGTCTGGTTTGTTTGTTTTTTAATTATACTATAGGATATAGGCCTCAATTCAGAAAGATATTTAGGCACATGCATAGAATCATAGAACTGGAAGGGACCTCAAGAGATCATCTAGTCCAGTCCCCTGCACTCAAGGCAGGACTAAGTATTATCTAGACTATCCCTGACAGGTGCTTAACTATCTGTCGAATGGAGGCCCATGACAACCAAAGATTTACAGGAATTTTGAATGTAATATGCATCTTTAAAAATATAGGGGAAAATTACAATCAAAAGTCCATAATAAATGTAGCTCAACTGAGGCTCAATCCTGTGAGGTGCTGAGCACTGAAGTCATTAGCAATTTTGGTTGCCTCGCATCTCCCAAAAAGCACTCAGTATGTTGCAGGATTAGGTCCTTAGACTTTAGCCTCTTTTGATAATAGATTGTGTTGCATATATTTGTGCAGCACTAAATATTTGTGCTATTGCTCACTAAAGTTTACACACAAAATAAAGCTTTCCGCTTTCTTTTGTGTTTAGAATGAGTGTCTAGATTGGAGTTATTCTCTCTTAAATGGTTTGGTGGGGGCAGTTTTGGGTTTTGGTCCATTTCAGAGTCTTACCTAAGTTACAATGATAGAAATGTAGCACTTCTCAGCAGAATAACCTTGAACAAGTCAAATTCTTCATCTCAAACAAAAAATTTTAAAAAACCCCAAAACACAACCTCCCTCCCCATACACACACCCACACCCACAAAGAGTGCAGTTTAGAAACCATCACAAATGGCACACGTTCTCTGAACTTATTGCACATTTGAAGTTAGGTGCAGCAGATGGGATGTCTGACAAATCTTTGCTTCAAGGAATAACCATCAGAAAATGTTACCTGCTGACCCCAATAGCTGAACTTTCCTAGAATAGAATGCATCAGTCTCAGTGGAATGTCAGCCCCCCCCAACAGTAGTGGTTGCTACTGAAGTCTACATTTTAAAGTACTTTAAATACCACTGTAATTAAATTGTTACCTAACATTACAGACCAAAGAGGAAAGGAAATATTGCTCCTCAACAGAAATATTCTTTTTGGGTTTAGGAACAAACTTGTTATCTTCAGCTATTTTCAAAGTCGCATGCTTCCCTGCTTTAGATGACTTATACAGCCGGAAATTTCTATTCTTTGTATAAACTCCTACAGGGGGAGAGAGAAAGAGAGGTTTCATAATGTATTTACAATTGGCTAGGTTCCCTCATATGTACTGTTTATACACTATATTTGGGTGTCTGAGGGAAAAAAGCATTTAAAGGAGTAAACACAAACGGTTATATTTATCCCAGTTCATTTCTCACAGTAGGAGTTACATAGCAGGGTAAAAATGAATCATGCAGCCATATATTTATCCGTAATATTCAAGTATAAGGACAATCACTCTAAACTGCTGTACAGGCATTTTAAGTAAATACTACAGTTATTTGGTACTATTTCAAAATCTCTGCAGATCATTCTCCAGTTTAATTGTTCTTTTTCCTAGCATGAAAGACCATGTAACTATTTTACACTGTAAACATGGTTTGGCAATTTATCAGTTTCCTGTTCTCTGTGTGTCAGTGTGACTATATCATAGTTGCACTTCAACAAGAGTGGTAGTTAGAAAAATGCAATTCGCATCACAATCTCAAAACAAATATGGGTTGGCAAGTATGAGCAATTCTGCTTGAGACTCGTGTGTGTGTGTAGAATTGTTTAACTCTGAAGCTGAATTTAGTTCTCATGAAAGTTTAAGGACTAAGAGCATTGGCATGACTGCTACATTGCACCCCAATTTTGTCTTGCAGTATCCTGCTCCAATTCGTTCTTGATCTCTGTCTACCAATCATTTTGTAATTTAGGGTGGTAAGCCCACCATGTTCTAGTTCACTGTGAACTAAAAACAAAAACGGAAGTAAAAAACCCACACGTTATCAGCTTAGTGTGCCACATAACTGCACCCTCCCACCTTATTTTTTATCCACTAGTCTCTGCAGGAGTTACTGTTATTAACATAGTTACAGTCACAGTGCACTTTATGACATTGTTTCCCCAAAATGAGAGTAACAGTGCAAGCGAACTCTTGGAAGTTAGGTAACTGCTATTCAAGGAAGAAAACTGCTGAGAGTAGTTACAAAATAACTTTTCTGTGGCAAATACAAAAATAGATGTGTCCAGAACACTGTATTATTGTGTCACTGTACTAACCTGAGCCACCTACTAATAAGTAAAAAAACACAAAACAAAAAACACAGATTGTTACCAATAAGCCAGTCTTCCAAAACTTCACAGGGAAAGATAACATAGTAAAGCAATTCAGAAGCCAAAATGAAAACTCTGGAAAAAGAAGTCATTGTAGACCTGTCCGTGCTTTCCAATTTGAATTTGTATTTTTTAAGAGAAAAAATTCTGCTCAATATACAGGAATTGCACACAGATCTTCACTTTTTTTGGGGGGGGTAAGGCAATTTACAAGCTACATGTATGTCATTGACTGTGAATATATTTGAACAAGGCATTTCTTGTTGGTCATTATTTGATTTTATTCACATGAATTTTCTAGACCATTCAAAATGCAGCAGCTTGTTTGCTTACTAAAATACTAAAATTACGGATTCTGTAGTTTCTATTCAATAGGTTCAAATGGATTAGGCTTTAACTTTAAATTATCTCTAGAAGATGTTCAGAATCATACATTCTTTATACTTATACATACCATTAAAAAGAAGTACCCATCCCTTGCTTTAGGCAGTCTGTGACAAATCTTAAATACACAACTACCAAACAGACTGCCCCTTCTAGCCCCCATTTTCATGATCATGCCACTTCCCATTTAACTGAACCAATGACCCCATGCAACTATTGTCCCCCTTATCATCAAGGAGTGAGAGTTCCTAAAGATAAACTGAAGTCTCCAAGGGACAGAGTTTTTATTTACTGTGGAACAACATTATGAAACTCAAGTAATATTAAAAGTTCCACAAGCATGTCAATATTTAAGGCCAAATTTAAAATACACCTTTTAAGATCATTTGTTTGATTTTTATTGAATTGCATCATGCATTTTGTTGTATGTTGAGTACTTAATTATACTACTGTACATTAAGCAGGAAACAGAACACTGTGAAAATAGTGCTGTGATCAAAGCATAAATCGTCTCTGGTTACTTAACCTTTCTTGCATTCCAGTACACAACCTTAACAGGAATATAATGCACATAATATGGAGCTAAATTCTCACTTAAGATGTGCATGCAAATGCCTCCTTCCCGTAGGCAACATTTTCTGTGCATGCATTAGATGGCAGAATTTGGCGCAGAATTCTGTCAGTAACTAACTTTTATATTTACCCAAATCGACGACAAGTTGCTTGCCTCCCTCCTTATCATTCACAACTAGAAAGGAAAGATAGGGATTATCTTTCTGTTGCAGTTTTCCATTTTCCAGCATTTCGTGCATATTAGATTGCCATTTCCCAGAAGCCTCCTTCGCTGCACCAAGGTTTACAACAGTACCATCTATTTCAACTGTTGCTTTGGAAGATTGGGAAGCAACACTGTCCGCCCCGTCTTCTAGAATCAGAGCATCAGCTTTATTTTCAGTTAAAACAAGAGCAGGTTGCAAAACTGTTTTCACAAAATTACCTTAAAATAATAAGAAGAAAAGAAATGGATCAGGGTCTGTTTTAGTCACAAGTTAAAAATGCATTTAATATGTTTTGTGCAAAGACTTTCAAATGAAAAATAGAGTTTCTCTCTCTTTTCCCTAAGTCTGGTGCACAACCAAAGCTTTAAACTGCTAAATGGGAGGCCCAAGTTTTGGCATTAACTTTAGTTGAAACTAAAGTTTGTGCTGCTGTTTTTTTAAGACATCTCACTATGTTAAAACAGGTATGCAAGAACGGTCCATATTTTGGTTGTATCATTCTCTCACACCCTTCACCATCTTAACGGCTGTGGGTGCCTGAGGGAACGAGCCATGTGTTTCTATATATTTGTACAGCACCAAGCACAAGTGGGCCCTGGTCCTACTTGACACTCTAGGTACTACCTCAAAACAAACAAATAATAAAACTGAATATGTTGTGAATGGCAAATGTGTAGTAATGTCACTACAGCGTCTCTAACCAAAGTTTCACATTGAGGAAAAAATCTTGGATACCTGTTCAAAGTCCTAGTAAACAAGTCTTGTGCAGGGTTTCAAAGGAGAACCATACTCTTCTCTACCAACCTGACAGCAGGGCACAGGACACCCATGCTATTGCCCAAAGACTGTTACTACTAGTGATAAGAGTCACGGTCTGGTACTTCATCCATGATTAGAGCACATAGGGTGCTGGTTTTAGTAATGAATGACACTGCCAATGATCAGCATGAGCCAGAATTTTGGATTTGACATCTGACTATGGACTTGAATCTCCCATTAGACTGCCAGATTCCCAGTGAGCATAGGTGATGCTCCACTCTTACACAATTGGAGTCTCATTCTGAGAACACTTATACACATCACTTACAGTAATGTCAATGGGACTACTCACATGCATAAGTGCAGGACTGGACAACAGGTCAGTACTGTGGCATATGAGGGAGCATCAGCCACTTCAGCTTGGAGCCTGAACAACAGGTGTTTTATTCGCATGGATGAGTGCAAGTCCACTGATATCAATGGAGTTGAACTTGCTTAAACCAGCTGTGAATTTAATCCCTTTGCTTTAATTCCTTTTTAGAGATTGGTAGAAGAGTAACGTACTTAATATGTTAGGATATTACTCATTTTGCAGAATTTCTGACACAGAAAAATTCTAATAAAATACTCATTAATTTTATTAGGATAAGATTGCAGTTTCATTTTCTAGTTTGTCCCAGAGAACACACAGGTTGTGATCATTTATACTGTAAACATAATAGATTATTTAATCTATTAGTCATTAACTGCTATTCTACAATAAACACTTGATTTAAAAAAAAAGAGAAAATTGCTTATAGCTTTAATATCACTGGACAGTTTATTTGAACTGTTGACCTTTCTCTCTCTTCATATACAAAAATTCCTGATTGATATTTAGATACTTGGATATCACTGTATCAAGCAAACTGTATTCATAGACGTTTTCTATGTAAAAATCCATAGATAATTAGGCATTTTGCCCAACATTTAAAAATTGAATTATTCAAACTATAAAACTGCTAATCTTCAAGATACAATCAACCAGTTTTGACATGTAGATGATTATGAGATTAACTAAATCTGAGTTTCATATTTAATACGTTAAAGAGTAACACTGTTTACAAAACTGACACTTTGTATCACAAGCAAATTTAGTTTCCTATTACTGCTAGGAAGGCAAAATAATAATAATAAATAAACCATTTACTGCTTACTCTGCCTACTGTCTTTATAAATCTATTATAACTATGACTGATTTTAAACACATTTACTGTCCAGCAGCGTTAATAATTTAGTTCACAATAGTGATAGGAAAAGCCTAACCAATGGGCTGGAAGTAATAGCTCAAATGCTGTTATTGAAAGGGAATAGCTGATGTAGTAAACTGAAAGAGTATGGGTTTTGTTCTTCTTCGAGTGCTTGCTCATAT